ACATGGAAGTTTCGCCTGATAATGATAAAAAAGCTGAGGCCGGGCGCCTGGGTGGCTCAGTCGTTAAGCGTCTGCCTTCGGCTCAGGTCATGATCCCAGGGTCCTGGGATCGAGCCCCACATCGGGCTCTCTGCTCGGCAGGAAGCCTGCTTCTCCCTCTCCCACTCCCCCTGCTTGTGTTCCTGCTCTCGCTATCTCTTTTTCTGTCAAATAAATAAATAAAATCTTTAAAAAAAAAAAAAAAGCTGAGGCCATGAAGTCGGTCTTACAAGGCCCACTAAGTGAATGCCCGACTCCTTAGCTGGACTGCGGACTGAGCACCTTGCACTGCAGCCAAATCTGGGTGCTGCTGACCCTGCCACACACCGTGGCTTGCTTGCCTCGAAGACTTTGCTCATACTGTTCTTTCTAGCCAGAAGGGCGTCTCTCCATCTCTCTTGAAATCCCGAACCTTCACTGAGACCCAGTTCAAAAGTCAACCCCTCCTCATAGCTTCCCCAAGTTAGGTTTGACCTATGCTCCCTCTGAATGCTTTTAGGCCTTGTCTTATCTCGCCTTCGTGCCTCTCACTACCGCACACTCAGCCAGCACACCCTGTAAGGCCAGGACTTAATCTTGCTTCTGCGTCTCCCACCTATCAAACACAGTGCCCCACACAAAGTAGACAAAGTGAATGTTTAAATAATGGAAGAAAGGTATTTTTTAGACATAGCCAAGTGGGGAATTAGCTTTTTTTGGGGGGGGGGGTTGTAATGTGACTGTGACTTAGACCTCATGAAATTTTTTTGAGATTTAAGAGCCCCAGTGTGAGAGTCACCCACCACACAACTCTAGATGAGGCCGTGTGTGCCTCTGGGCCTGCTTTCTGTCATCTCTGAGGAAGTTTTCTAGCTCATAGTCAAATAAAATTTCCGCAGGAAAAGAGAGAAAGTGGATTTAGAGAAAATCTACACCGTGGGTTTGGAAAAGAAATCACCATCACGACAGTGGAAGGACTCGGGAGGGAATTGGGCATGTTGAACCTGGTAGAGAAGACCTAGGAAAGACTTGAGCTCATGAAATGCTAGAGCTGGAAAGAAACTTAGGGACTTCGGAGGCTCCGATGTTCTGCAAAGCTCTTTTTCCATTTGTAGTTCTGACTGATAGGAAAGGAAATTCTTATTCATTCATTTTACATTCTCAACTGAGAATGACGTTATGGTTCAGAATTTCAAATTCATTTTCTTTTATTTCAAATTCAAATGTGCTGCTATGTCTTTAACAAAATCATAGTTTAAAAACATTCTTTATTCTGTTGTTCAGTGTTCCTCATCCACAGATTCATCAAACAAAATCCAGGTAAACTTAGGGACCACTTTTTAGTGGGATATAGCGCTTTTTTTTGCCTTCTTTGCTGGACAACTTAGAGCCAAACATGTTCCTTACCGGAAGTAAATGACTCAAGCCAGGTGCTTTCCTTCCTTTTTTTTTTGTCCTTAAACACCCAGAAGAGTGCCTGAGCATATTAGATGCTCAAAAATACTTGTTTAATTAATGAATATCCTTAAGAGTAGAATATTGTATCATCTTTAAAAATATTAGTTTTGATAAATAATCAATGATATGGGAAATATTAATGATACAATTTCAAGTGACAACTAAGGTTGCCAAATTGTACATACACAGCATGTTTCCATCTCAGTGAAATCTGTTTTCTGTGTACTTATTACACAATATTATATAGTATCACAACAATATGAAGAACAGTTCTGGGCGCCTGGGTGGCTCAGTTGGTTGGGCGACTGCCTTCAGCTCAGGTCATGATCCCAGAGTCCTGGGATCGAGTTCCGCATCGGGCTCCCTGCTCTTCGGGGAGCCTGCTTCTCCCTCTCCCACTCCCCCTGCTTGTGTTCCCTCTCTGGCTGTGTCTCTCTCTGTCAAATAAATAAATAAAATCTTTAAAAAAAAAAAAAAAAGAACAGTTCTGAGTTATATTAAATGTGATTTTTCTGTTTTTAGACTTTATGTTTTTCAAATTATAATGAGCTTATATTAATTTTTAGTGAAATTCATGCATATGAAGAGTATAAAATCTCAAATACTATAATAACATGCAAAAAAATTAAACTTTTTCCTATCTCTTTTCTGGCTCTACAAAGGAAACTGCTTTCAAATATTTTGGCTGTAACAAAAAGAAACAGTAAATCTAAATAGACCTCTGTGTTAGATAAGCTACAAAATAATAGGGATATTGAAAAATTATCAGATAAAAAATTAAGTATTTCTGGCAGGAAAGAAACCGTAGAAAAACCTTATAGGAAAGGAAGGGTAGTCATCTATGGACACTGTTTACATAATAATGTAAAATTAAATATGGTTTATTCCCCCCAAAATGTGATATAACTAAATTGGGAGGACAGGGGCAAAAGGATAGGTGAGTGCTATCAAAAACCATTTATCTCAGGGCGCCTGGGTGGCTCAGTTGATTAAGCATCTGCCTTCGGCTCAGGTCATGATCCCAGGGTCCTGGGATCGAGTCCTGCATCGGGCTCCCTGCTCAGTGGTGAGTCTCCTCCTCCTTCTCCCTCTGTGATCGAGATCTCTCGCGCTCTCTCTCAAATAAATAAATAAAATTTTTTAAAAAAGAAAGAAAAACCAATATCTAACGTCTAAAATGTAAAAAAAAAAAAAAAGTAATCAACAAATAGCAAGAAGAAGCAGTGATTGTGAGATGTGTTAGAAAAGAAAAAGAAGCAGCACAAATATTAGAAAGCAGTTTCTTTTTATGTTGACTTATATTTTTTAAAAGTAAAGTTGTAAAAGGCCCCTGTGCCTGTGGGTAGAAGCGAAGCACATGGCGCTGCTGCCCGTGTGCAGTGCTCACTGCTGGCGTTCTCGGTGACTGGGATCCACACTTACTTTGTTGTTACTTAGCTCGTGGCACATGTGTCTTAATATGGTAAGGTATCTGAAATTCCTCTTGGAAGTGACCTGCCATGTTAGTTTCATTTCAATGTCACATTTTTAAAAATGACCAATAATTGGCTGCCTGACATCCAGAAAACATGTTTATGTCAACTTGATCACATGTGCTGCAGCTTACTGGTGAATATATATTGGATTGTCCCTGGATTTTCACCAGTAAGCTCTCCCTTCCAGTGTTTACAACCTCATCCTAATCTCTCCTAATTCATTTTAACATCTTCCTTCTTCCCTCCCCAAACTAATTTGTACTTAATCCAAGTTCTGTTCTTTTCCCTACTACATTTGTTTTAATCTTTGAGGCCCAGAATGACATTTAGTGTTTCTCATTGTCACTTAGAATAAGGTCTTCACCATGCACGTCTTTGTAGGAACATCTGACAGAATGCCTTCCTTGCTTTAGGAAACTCAGTTTCGAATGCAGGGCAAATGCATTCAGCCTCGATCCTGTTGCACAGAGCCAGGAAAGAGCCTCTTGGGCAGAGTGCCTCCTTGATCTGCTGGCCCGGCCTCTCTCCTTACCGCTTCAAGTGCATAAGTTGAGGGACATAAAGGCTTTATGTGGGAGTTCGGGTATTTTCATTTTCAAATAATCTGATACTGATTTCTTAAGACTTCTGTTTGAAGAAGTTTAAAAAGTAGATGGGTATTTCACTCTGCACAGTTTTACTGTCTTCTGTATTTCATTTGGGCCTGCACGTGGGGAAATAGTGGGTTTTACTTTGCAGCTTCCAGCCGAGCCACAGACCACCGAACTGCAGGTAGAAGTCTAAATCTTGGAACTAGTTCTGGGAAATGCACTGGGCTGTGTGTACAAAGGTGTTAACAGAGAATATAAAAAAGAGAGGCTCGATGGCGAGTAGAAAAATACAAACTTCTCACTGAAATCACCCATTCGCAGTGACTCTATGAGCAGAGATCCAGTGGGTGAGAATAGTAGACACTTTCATGCAGGTGAGTTTATTCCCGGAAGCGGGGAGCTTTGGTGTGAAGTGCTAGCTTCACCAGAGCCAGAGCCAGCGGTGGATCCTGAAGGATTTGAGCGTGTAGTTTCGGTTTAGATTTGCCTTCAAATCCACCCCACCCCACTCCACACGATTATCCCGTTACATATGAGGGTGGATTCATGTTCCTAAGGCTCTTTTGATGTGTCACTTCCCTACTCTCAAATCTTCAGGGACCACTGGATCAGGTGTATTCAGAGCCTTCCACATTTTGCCCGGACCTTTATTTCCAACCTCAGTTTCTAGGACTTCCAGCTACAGCCAAGCTGGGCTCTTCCTTTTTCTCAAGCCTGGATGGTATAGCTCCCTTCCCGCCTTTTCCCACCTTCTCCTTTATCACTCTACTCTGCATGTCTTGTCAGAGGACCTGGCCACCATCCTAGGTCAGGTAGGTGTGTGATCTGGGTCACATTACTCTTCCTCCCTGAGCCTCCCTCTCCCTCTGTGCAAGATGAGAGATTAAACTAGGAGGCTTCTTGGCAGGGTCCTTTCAACTTTATTATTGTGTGGGTGAATGTCAGATTTAGCTTTTTCCTTAGTTGTCCCAGGACGCGGGGTCCTTTTCTCTTTTGTGTCTCTGCAGCATTTACCATTCATTGTTTGAGACTAGTTAACATTTTTATGTCCTACCTTCAACTACTTTTTGAAGATATGTTTGTAAACTGAGGAAGCCCTTTGGTAGAGCTAACTTGTTTCCCTGGGATGTGGGTGAGTGGGGAGGACTGTTGTGTGTTCTACTTTGGATTTCCACCTTGTGTCTAGATAGAGGCTTTGAGGCATTGGGACTCATGAAAGATTTTCTCTTATTCCCCTTTTTTGGGAGAGTGGCATGTTCTTTGAGAAGAGGCATATATCTATAACATCGAGACTGAAGGAAGGATGCAGTCTCCTGGAGAATTCCCTCTGGTCTGCTCTGAGGCTGTTGGGTCTGTGCTGACTCTTTGCGTTGGCCTTCCTCTGCCATCCTTTGAAGAGTGCCAGGCTCCTGGCATTCTGGGTTAGGATGAGGACTTCATCTTTCGCTGTGTGTTTCAGGGCCCTGTTTGATTATGATCGAACTCGGGACAGCTGCCTGCCAAGCCAGGGGCTCAGCTTCTCCTATGGTGACATTCTGCACGTCATTAATGCGTCTGATGATGAGTGGTGGCAGGCGAGACTGGTGACCCCGCATGGAGAAAGCGAGCAAATCGGTGTGATCCCCAGTAAGAAGAGGTGAGTGGTCATGATCTTGAGGCCTTCCTTGCCCTCTTCCTGGTATTGCTTTCTTTTGTACCTATTATACTATAAGTTGCTTGAGAGCAATGGATGTGCTCTATCGTTCCTTTTCGGTAGAGTTGGTGCTCAAGACACAGTTAGGACTCAGGGAGCCAAAAGGTGGCTGCTGAGACCATGCACTGGCAGTGAGTAACAGGACTCCTCTCTGACTCCAAAACAGGGTGGAAAAGAAAGAAAGAGCTCGATTGAAAACCGTGAAGTTCCATGCCAGGACGGGGATGATTGAGTCTAACAGGGTAAGTGGGGATCCCCAAGGAAATCAGCCAATATGTGAAAAGGAGTAAGAAGCTTGGAGTCTGTCTGCTGGATAAGAGAACTGGGGAGCACAACAGAATATCTCTTTTTCAGGGGGCTGGCTCTGTCCTATCAGAACACTGACTGCTTTTCAGAAAGCAGAGAGAGGGCACTAAAATTCTGTGTCCAGTCTGTACTCCTTCCCCCTGGGTTACTGGCTCTTGAAGATGTGTTGGAATTGGACTATCTGGAAAGGCTGACTTGTTCCGGGTACATGAAGCCGTCTGTGGTTATGTCCCTGGCCGCAGACCCTGTCAGAGCTGTGGGGACCCTGAACAGAACCTGGCCTTGTTACCCAATGAGGAAGGCCAGCCTCAGAGCTCTGACCACCTCCCCTCAGACCAATGAGGCATGAGGGCTCACTCATTCACCCCTTTTCTTCTGTGAGCTTCGCAGGCCAAAGAACTTCTGGAGCAGTAGAGGGAAGAGAGACACGGAGTAGATGACTGTATCAGTGGCACCTTAGGGCATGTGTCCAGGAGGCTACAGTGACCTTTGTCCTTTAGAAAGTGCCAGTGAGTGCTGTGAGTCTGGATTAGGTAGAAACCTCTAACATCCCTACAACATTTTCCTGTAAACATAATTTTCCTCTTACATCAACTTTCATTTAATCTCATAGACTCCATTTGTGAGAGATGGTCTTTTATTTAGCTCACCATTGTCTCCATTTTAGTTTTTCTTGCATGCTTTAAAATCCATTGTTCTGTTTTTTTTTTCTTCTGTCCTTCCCCTCCATCTTCATGTTCTTTCACAGTCGATCAAAACGAAACGTAAAAAGAGTTTCCGCCTCTCTCGAAAGTTTCCATTTTACAAGAGCAAAGAAAACATGGCCCAGGAGAGCAGCGTACAGGAACGTAAGTAGCAGCAGGGTACAGAGAGCAGACTGCCCACAGCCCCGCCCTCTCTTCCTCATTTGCACCTCCCCTTATGAGAAGATGGGGAAAGTGTGTGTGTGTGTGTGTGCGCGCGCACGCATGCGTGCACACGCGCGCGCACGTCCATCCGTCCATGTGTGCGTGCATGAGTGTGTGTGTGCGCGCGCACCCTTGCTTATTTGCAGTCAGTGTAGAGATTGATCTGCATGGGGAGACATTGGATCTCTCTCATCCAGCTGCTCACTCTGAAACAATGTCAGAGGCTCTGAGGACCAGCTGCTTCCAAGGCTGGTCTACCAGGACATCCCTGGCACTGGCATTGGGGTGCCAGGCCAAGCTCTGCTGTGGTAGTGATCAGTTCTCAGCCACAGTGTCAGGGTTAGAAGAATGGTTTTTCAAGAGAACCAGGTCAAGGGACTCAGTGTTGCTCTCCTGGCTTCTTCCTCCTGTGTTTTCTTTCCCTTAACTTTACTCATCTGTGTTAAGAGAAGAGCCTTTTCTTCCCACCTGGAGTTGGACCTGCTTCTTGAATTACATGCATGTGCATATGCACCCGGGATGTCCACACGGCTCCAGCAGCCTCACTGTCATCCCAGTTACAGAGCCAGCCTTCAAAATAAAATCCTTCCTGCTTAAAGGAATTGACGTGGAAGGGGGATTACTCAACATTGTCTAAATAAAGTTTTTTTGAAAAACAGTAAATGGTAGGAAAGGCCATAAGCTGACTTTTAAGAACCAATGTAATCCTGAGAAATATTCGTATTCTACCATATGTCTCGGAAATTAACTGCTCTGACCCTCACCTTAAACACCAGGTCAAGCTGGTGAAACACGTCTCATATGGCTCATGGTGAACTGTAAGCCTCTCCTCTGCTGCCTCACAAGGAGGGGCCTTGGGGTCCTGGGCTGTTGGGACTGGCAAGAGACTAACTTTGTCTAGGCCAGCCTGATTCATGGTCGTGGTCTACGTAGGTCATTGCTGTCTGAAGTGGTAGCTAGTCAATCCAAGGGTGCCTTCATCCAAATGGAGGTTATGGGTCATAATCCTGGGTAGCTCAGTAAGAAGCACCAGCTGCAGCTGGTTCTGCTCGTGAGCAGTGGGAGATGGTCTGAAGGGAGGTCACCACAGTTCACTGGATCAGCCTCAGAACGTACCCGTGCTCGATCTAGCCTGGGGAGGGTTCACCATTGGGTGGCTCAGCTGAGGGACAGGGGCTGCCTGTTGGGTGAGAGTTGAAACTGCCTAGTGCTAATTCTCCAGAAGCTGAGCTCATCCTCTGTGGTCTGCACAACTCTGGTCAGCTTTGAAGGCCATACCGGACACTGCACGAAGCTTTCCCTGAAGGGTCTGGACAGGGTGAGTCAGTATTAGGCAAAAGCTCCTTGGGATGATGATAATTCTGCCTGCTCTTTGGTGCACCCTCAGAGGGAAATGGTGATTACAGGGGCAGAGCAGAGACTGGGGCTCTGTAAGTACAAATTCAGCCAAAGCAGGTACTCTAAGCCTTGGAAAGTCTACCTGTTCTGTCCTGTTGGGCTATAGACTGTAGACCACCTCAGAAAGGTAGTCCGCTCCAAGGCCCTCTGGCAGCAAGTTGGGCAGGATGAAGTACCCGTATCTTATTGGATCTGGGGCATTCTTTCTGTAGCAAAGTTCTTAACCTCACTATAATTATAGGTCTTCATAGTATTTCATACTTCTGTCACTAATGCTCACCTGGCTCTGTATTCTTCCTTCCCCTTGTCTTTTTTCTCTATTTTCTCTTTTGTCCCAATTCTTTCCCTCCCTCCCTCCCTCCCTCCCTCCCTCTTTCCCTCTCTCTTTGTCCTTGCTGTCTGTGAAATCAGGACTTCCCTGGGTTAAGTGACGATTATTATGGAGCAAAGAACCTGAGTAAGTCAAACTTACACACCACTAACTGTATTTCTGGCATGAGTGGAGATGCTGGGGTTGGGGGTGTAGCGAACGTGGGTGAGGGCAAAGGGTGAGGGGAGGACAGTGTTGTGAGGACTCGGACACCACAGCAGGAGGAGGAACAAGTGGCTCAGGATGTCACACTTCTGCTCTGGATCCCTGGTACCCTAATAAAAGCCTATCATTCACGTCTGTATTTTCCTTTTGTACCTGGAAGGGATGGGGAGCCATCTTGGTGCCCCGCCTTAGAAATGAGGTAGGCAAGATGTACTTCTCCAAGGGTGACCACTCAGCTCATCTCTAGCCTATTGTTGAGGGGAGGGGTGTCCGCTGGTTGGCTTCTTCCCTAGCGACACAGCACTAAAGAATTGGGCTTAAGAATGAGCAGTTTGGGTCTAACTAGGGGCAAGAGTACTGTGAAGCCCTTTACCCATCATGCATCTGGGACATCCCAGCAGGTCCAGGGGCCTCGAAAAGCCGTGGGCTGGCTTTCCATGGAGCATCTTTAAGGGGCTGAGCTGGTGGGGGAGGGTCTCAGTGGCATTTATGGACCATATATACATTTATATCTAGTGCCTTAGGTCGGGAAAGCTCTGACCTGTCCTCTCTGGAAAATAATTCTAGAGTGAAAAATGAAGGGACTGAGAGGACAGCACCTTAGCATCCCCTCTGTGCACGTACACGTGGCTGTGCCGGGAGGTTCTGTCAGTGTATACTCTCCTTCAATAAGTAATAAAGGCATGAAAGTGAAGGAGCTTCCTCAGGGGATTGCTCAGGAGCTAGCCTTGGTTGGCGACTCACTCAGTCCTTCCTATGGGGGCCACAGCATATCACAGTCTGGAACAGTGTCATCTTGGCTGAAACGAGCAGTGTCTCTGTCCATCATTTGTTGTGTTCATGTTTCATCTTCATTTGCCTTTCGTCTTGGGAGCGGTGGCCTTTGTTTGGGCCATACTGCACCTTGTGCTTCCTTTGAGCATGGCGGCCATGCCCACACTCAGATGTAGGCAAGTCCCAGTGGTCTGAGACAGGACGGTTGTCTTGGCCTCCCAGTGTTCTGTGTTTGTGGTCTCTGTGTTTTGACACGTCTGTCCGATTGTGGATGGAGGAGCATCCTCCCTCACCACTGAGGCCAAGCTAGGAGGAGGAGGAGGCTAGATGATAGGGGTGGCAGGTCCCACCGAACGGTCAGAGCCGCGTTCCCTGGTGACAGCTCAGCGTACCTAGTGCTTAGCCTCTTAGTTCTGGAGCACCGCACAACTCTGTACATCGGGGGTTCTGTCTGGGGAAGGGAATTCAAGAGCAGCCCGGTCCCTGGACTCATCTTTGCTACTGTCACTGCCTTTCCTTTCCTGTTGTTAGCCTTGGGAGATGCATTTTGAGATAGGATTTGGAAACCATCCAAGTCCGTTGTTTTGATTCAGATGAAGAAGATGCTGCCGAAGAATGGAAGGCTTGTAGTGTACAGGGAGGGCCTTGGCAGCCCGAGAATGCTCTGGGGACAAGTATGAGGTGGCCAGGGGCTCAGGGTTGGAGCTCTGCCTCCCAGTTGGTAGCCTGGATGTGGCAGGCCTCCTGTGGCCTGACTTGGTTGGCAGCTCGGTGTCTTGCCTCCTGGAGGAATTGAGTTTTGTGCCGCGTGTGACCTCTCAGTGGTGTGTTCTGAATCGGAGTCTCTTTCTTGTTGGCTTGCAGAGGGAGTGACATCCAACACCAGTGACAGCGAAAGCAGTTCCAGTAAGTGTGTGTCATTCTCCCCCATGTCGTGTGGCTCCACCATGTGTCCCAGCCATCCTCATTCCCACGTTGCATGGCTGCCATTTCTGTTCAGAGGCTAGTGCTTCGTTCAGCCATGTGCACTTGGAGATCCTGGAAATGCTGTGGCCATTTTGTCCTGACGGGGTGGGCTTTAGGCCGTGAATTAAAGGAGAGTATAAGGCCTGCACTTGTGGCCAGGACCTGACTTAAAGCTGTCCCTGGGGCCTCGGGAGGGGTGAGCTGCCAGTGAGTCAATCCCTGCCATGGGCATCCTGGGCTGTAAATGCTGCCAGTTTGACAGATTTGCTTAGAGACCAAAAGACAAATGGCTCCTGTGGGCTGTTGTCCTGAATTGCCTTTCCGGGTCTCTAGGACCCCCCGGGTCAAGGCTCGGTGTCTTTGTCTTTTTGCTGGGTTAAGTGATCCGGTAACTGCCCGGTTTTCCTTCAGAGATCCTGTGACCAAGCCAGAGAAGCCACAGTTGGAACCCCACGAACTTTGGGAGCCCTGGCCTCTCGGGAGCTATGGCTAGAGGTCTTGTACAATCTGCCCACGAGTCAGGCTCAGAGGAAGCCTGTGAGCAAGCATCCTGGGGCTTGATGCAAATATTGCTGCCTTCCCCAGCACTGCTGTCAGCCCCTTGGGGACCTCCAGGCACCCAGAACCAAGTGGCTTGGTGACTATTTTAGGAAAAGTTCATCACTGTTTGTTTTTTTTTCCCCAAGATTTTATTTATTTATTTGACAGAGAGATAGAGAGAGAGCACAAGTAGGCAGAGTGGCAGGCGGAGGGAGAGGGAGAAGCAGGCTGTCCGATGAGCAGGGAGCCCGACGTGGGGCTCGATCCCAGGACCCCGAGATCATGACCTGAGCCGAAGGCAGATGCTTAACCGACTGAGCCACCTGGGCGCCCCAAGTTCATCACTGTTAGGATGTATGGAGCTCTACCATGAGGAGAGAGCAGGGCTCAGCATTGCTCTTAAAGGGGACTGGGGACCTTAGCCCAGCCTTGAGCCACTTATCTGGAGATTTCTTCCAGTGCAGGGGGGATAGGTAGACCCTTAAAAGGGCAAAGTTAGCTTGCATGAGTGCCCTGACTCCCCTGCTTGCAGATTAGGGGACGTGGACAGTATTTCTGGACCAGTTGAAGCTTCCCTGTGATTCTTACCAGAGCAAGAGGGTAATTGAGCACAGTTGACTGTTACCTATAAGAACAGTTCCTGAGAAATGAGGGTGGTTTTTGGTGGAGGCTTCATGGCTTCTGGGTCATGTCCCTTTGGTCAGCGATATTTTGCTGAATGAGAGGACTCCTGTCCCAGGGGTGGTGAAGGGCTTCCTGTGCTTTCTTGCCAATGGGTAGCAGACAGGCCCACAGGGCAGGTGGTGGCAAGTACCACATTGACAAGGCTGTTTTCTGGCAGAGGTGGGGGTGAGGGGAGTGTTGTAGGGGGACCAGGACACAGGGAGGCAGATTACAAAGTGCTAACATGTCTCCCTTTTTTGTTGCAGAAGGACAAGAGGATGCAATTTTGTCATATGAGCCAGTGACACGGCAAGAAAGTAAGCCCCCTTCTGAGAGTCTTGCCTTCAAGCTGGTCACGTGGTCGTGGGGCCCAACGCAGTGGTTGGCCGTGTCGGCGGAGGGAAGTGCCTGGCGGGGCCCATCGCACGTCCAGCCCCTGGGCGTCTCCTTCTCTCCTGCGTCTTCCTCTTGTTGTAGAAAATGGGGAAGGAAACCCAGTGTGCACCCCTCACCATACCTTTGTTGCTGCCGGGGTGCCTTCCAGAGGATAGGACAGGTTGACAAAGAGGGCAAGGGTCAGTCTCAGTGGGTGTGACCGTTTCCAAAAGAAAGGTCCCGGTCCCTCCCTGTAGTGGCTCCTCGGAAAAAACCTTGCTTAGCTGCTGGTGCCCATGCAGAGATTTCTCCTGAATCTGTTGGAAGGGGAGATGCTTCTGATTTCAGACTTGCCTTGGACTTAGATATTTTCAAATTAAAGGCTCTTTGATGTCTTTGTAGTTAAAAGCCAGGGAATGGCTGCAGACACTCTGCCCTGTCTGAGTGGCGGCTCCAGAGCTGCGGTGTTCTAGGCAGACTTGGAGGTAGAAGAGGCCGTCTGGTGGGAGGCCTCGCTCACGACCTCCATGCTCTCTTTCTCCAGTTCACTATGCAAGGCCTGTGATCATCCTGGGCCCAATGAAGGACAGAGTCAACGATGACCTGATCTCGGAGTTCCCGCATAAATTTGGATCCTGTGTGCCACGTAAGAGCCCAGGAAGGTTTTGGGAGGGAGGCGTTGGTGCCCTGGGAACGATTACTCTGATGTTCTGTGGAAAGGGTGTGGGGCCAGGTACTAGGGTTCTCTGGGAACAGCGCCTAACGCTCTGGAAGAGATTAGGCAGCAGTAGATTCCCACAGGGCTGATGGGGTTGGGAGGCCTAAGCCATCAGGCTGGCCTGCTTCCTCCCTTGGAGAGAAGTTTTGAGTGGTGATGGTCGGGAAGGATTGGACTAATGGGGGGCCTGGTCCAAGTGGTGTTGGCACGGCCCCATGGACAGCTTGTTAGGGTCGCTGGCTCCCGTGCCACATTTGGCCTCTTCTGCCAGGTTTTGGCCCAGGAAACCCTACCTTTCTGGTCCAGTTTAAACTAAAGCAAATAGCTCCCTGTGTGTGAGCCCTGGTGGTTACAAGAGAAGTAGGCAAGACACACTTCTTTCAGCTACTCTCCCTGCCACTCACCTGGAAAATATTGGAGTGGCCCCAGGGCCCAGGTGAGAGAGGAACAGTCATCTCTTTTGGCCTGGGGCAGGTCATTGTCCTTGGGCCACACAGCATTTCCTTTCTTCCTTCAGATACCACTCGGCCTCGGCGTGATAATGAGGTGGATGGACAAGACTACCACTTTGTGGTCTCCCGAGAACAGATGGAGAAGGATATTCAGGACAACAAGTTCATTGAAGCAGGCCAATTTAATGATAATCTCTATGGGACCAGCATCCAGTCAGTGCGGGCAGTTGCAGAGAGGGTAAGAAGAGAGGAGATGGCCCTGCTAAATACAACCGTCAAAGGAAAAACCGAAATGGCCCCACTGGCATTCCGTTAGGGTCCGCCTCCTCCCGGCACAGGGCCTATCAAGCGGCATGCCGGCTCTGCGTGTTCCCAGCCCCCGGCTGGAGGTGGCTGTGTCTCCTCCACGCAGCTCACCCCAGCGTGTCACCGACATGCATAGGGACCCCTCTGCAGATGTGGCCTTTTCTGGCTAGTAGGAGCAAAATGTGGGGCCTGGGTGCCTCAGCGATAGAATCTTCTAGGCCTCTCTGGGTGACCCTGGGTTCCCCCACCCCAGGCAGATGTTTGGGTTGCTGCTGGGTACGTGCTTGGGGCTGGGTAGACAGAGACCGGGTGGGCTGATAACAGGTCTTTGCCTTTTCAGGGCAAGCACTGCATCTTAGATGTTTCCGGCAATGCTATCAAGAGGCTGCAGCAAGCACAACTTTACCCCATTGCCATTTTCATCAAGCCCAAGTCCATTGAAGCACTTATGTAAGTATTTGCGAGCCTCAGACGCTCCCAGCTAGGGGAGGGCCCTGGAAAGGAACAAGAAAATAAACTGATTTGTCGGGCAGGGGTAAGACCCCATGGAAGCTCCAAGGCAAGTCGGCACCCCAGCTGGTCCCCGAGGCTTCCTTCTGCTTTGAGTGTCTGCACTTGTATTCCAGTTGCCCTTTTCAAACCTGGCAAGTTTGGGGCAGAAGTTGAGCCGTGGGTCACTGCTGCTCTCATAGGGCAGCTGAGCAGATTTTCAGGGAGCCTGGGAGCAATCCTTTATGTTAATCAAAATGTAGGATCCAGGGGCTACCTGGGTGGCTCAGTCAGTTGAGCGTCCAACTCTTGGTTTCCGCTCAGGTCGTGGTCCCAGGGTCGTGAGATCGAGTTCCGCTTCGGGCTCCGCGCTCAGCGGGGAGTCTGCTGGAGATTCTCCGTCTGCCCCCCCCAGCCCCGCCCCCTGCCTGTGTGCTCTCTAAAATAAATAAATCTTTAAAACAAAAGATTCTCCTTCTGCACACGCCCCCCCTCCCCCGCCCCGAGCTCGTGCGCTCTCTCTCAGAAAAAAAAAAAAAAAACACATCCAGTTTGGTACCATTTTTCTTCTCTGTCTTTGGCAGGGAAATGAACCGACGGCAGACATATGAACAAGCAAATAAAATCTATGACAAAGCCATGAAACTGGAGCAGGAGTTTGGAGAATACTTCACAGGTAAGAAGCCCTGCTGCCCAGCTCGAGTAACCAGCCAGACACCTCTAAGTGTCTCCAAAAGGCTTAGGTACCCAGCACAGAGTTTCTGGCCGCTTTGGAGGTCAGACCTTTGCAAAATACTCAAGCTCCTTCCATCCAGGGGCGTTTAGCCAGTTTATAGTATCGACCACCACCACCAACTGCTGCCTTGGATCATTTTGTTCATCTTGTCCTCATATTCCTACCAGATTAGAGGCTCCCTATGTTACTTTGCTTCTCTCCCTCCCAGCTCCTCCTCCCAGTGTAGTACTCGGTTTTGCGTGTTTTAGGTGCCGAATCCACGTTGGTTGATGATGATGATTTCTCAGTGGGGTGTTCGAGTTGTCTGTCAGTGTGTGTGCGTGTGTGCGTGGCGTGCTTGTGTGTGTGTATATGGCCCCTATTTTGGAAGGTCAGTCCCTAAAAGGCTGTTAACGTTTCTCTGTAGTATGTTGCTTACCTTTAAAGTGCAGTCACAGGGCTGGTTGGGGGCACTTGTTGGGATGAGCACTGGCTGTTGTATGTAAGTGCCGAATCACTCGGTTCTGCTCCTGAAACCGGTGTTACCCTGTAGGTTAACTGATTAGAATTTACAGACAGAAACTGAAAAAAAATAAAGCACAGTGACATTTGTGTGCAGGTTGGTGCTGAGTGAACCGCAGCTGCTGGTGCCACCAGGTGAAGCAGGGAAAGGACACGTAGCCGTACTGTCAGACCGTGGCTTTCGGACCTTCCCTTTACTGTTACGTCCGTGTCCTCGTTTTCCGGGCTGACCTCTGACATAGAGCAGATGTGATGGCCCCGGGAGCCCTGCCTCTTGCTAGAAACCGTTTCTTTCGGTTCTTTCTTTGGCTAACTGGGATTTTCCAAATCTTCTACTGAGGCTGTTTACAATGACCAGCTGCTGGCCTCATGGCTGCCAAGAGCAACGTGAGCCTCGAGGTCTGGCATCTAATGGGTGCTCAGTAAACATTTTTTGAACAATCCGTTTTCTCGTTCATTGCCACTTAGTCTCACTGTCTCGGCAAGTTGACACTGGGCCGTGGGCTGAGAGCACCTGCCGGTTTCCCTCGTTGCCCTAGGCTGTGCGGGCATCTCTGCCAGGCTGAGCTGGGGTGGGGGCCGGGGCAGGCTGGACTGCCGGGTTTGGGGTGCTGTGGAGCACATTAATAATTCTGTTTTCCTCTTCACTTTAGCCATTGTACAGGGTGACTCACTGGAAGAGATTTACAACAAGATCAAACAAATAATCGAGGACCAGTCTGGGCACTACATTTGGGTCCCATCCCCTGAAAAACTCTGAAGAATCCCCACCAAGCACTCTCTTGTGAACAGAAGACATCAAGTCCCTCTTCCCTCCTCCCTCTTCAGTCCTGTCCCCACCAGGAGAACAAATGACTACTGTTCTTGTCCCCTTTTTTAGATATGTCCCAAAAATTGAGTTTTCTAGTCCTGTTCTGTTTTTTTAAATTTTCATCTTGTTTTAGTTTATTTTTTGGGATGATGCCATCTCACTCATCACGTGACTGTGCCCATTCCTGCATGGACCTTTCCCAAGCGCTAGCACAGGTGCAAATCCATCAGAGTCATTGTTTTCATAAAAACCAAGCAGAAGCGAAGAGACGAGAGGAGGACTGCCGGAAAGCCAGGCTCTGGACGGCTGCGTGGCTTGTGAAGCGAGCTCGGTGTGCCGCGTGCCGAGATGCCCCCGGGCATTTCTGCTTCTCACGCTGCTGTCACGCAGCGCTGAACGGTGCAACGTATGGCGACAGAAAGTATCTTATTTATATATAGATATATATATGTAATTTATATAAAATATATAGAAATTATTATATATATATATTATACACTCTCATATAATATATATATATTCACACACATTTGGACTAGAAAATCTATGGAGACTTCATCAATGGTACTGTGTTATTAGAGAAATGCTTTAATTTTCATATTCCAATCAGATGGCATCTTATATCCCAGCTGGTTGGGGAGGGATCGCAAGTGGTAGTAAGTGCTGTACCAAGGGGGCACTCGCGTTTGGTCATTCTCTTGAAAGCTGAGGTTGTCTCTAGGTCGGGGTCAGCGAGCGGGCTTTTTCTCTGGGGGCGAGAGGGTTGGCGACGGGACCCCGAAGCAGCTGCCGCCCGGGAGGCACAGTCAGTCCCGGGTGCAGAAAGCGAGAGAATGGCTAGCAGTGCTCCAGATTAAATTGCCTATTGTTTTCTGCCACCCAATGTGTCTGCATGAGAGGTTTCCTTTTTGTTCATTTTTAAGCTGCTGTTAAACCAAAACCATGTTGTGCTACCGTGTCAGCCTTTTCATTATTCCAAATTTTACTTTTACTATTTAAGTGAATGCGTAGAATCCAATTTGACAAGTGTTTTAAAGGTTCGTGACGTTGTGGAGGAGCCGGGCCTTGCGATAGAGTAGGTGCGCCCGGCGTGGCCGTCCGGTCCGCGGAGGGGACGCGGGGGCTGCCGGGAGCGGAGAGCGGGAGCTCGGGCTCCGCGCTGCGGCGGGTCC